TCCTCAAATCGTGCCAATAATATGCGGTGCAGTCTGGGCCGTCCAAATTGAATTTCTTCTCGTCAGAAAAAATAACATTGTCCCATTCCGTAGTCCAAGACATGTATTTTTTAGCGAAATTCAATCTGGCGCTAATGTGGGCCGGTTGAAGATTGGGTTTTTTTGCTTTTTTGGTGTACTTTAAGTGGCCACTTCCATGTAGAATCTGCCGTACACGCCTCTTAGAAATGGAAAGCCCCATTTCTTGCTTGATTTGCGCAACAGAGAAGTTTCCAGAGTCTCCCATTTGTATGATTTGGTTTCGGACACGGTTGGTGATCTTCGAATTTCCCTGTGTTTTCTTTTTTACGCCATACGTCTTGCCTTTTTTCAGCAGGTTCCTGATTGCTGCTTCCGATCTGTGGATCACACGTGCAATTTTGCGATTGCTCTCACCGCGACTTTTGAGTTCTCGAACCAGTATTTGCTCCGACTGGCTTAAATACTTTCCTTTACCCATTTTGCCGAAAACAAGCAACAACTACCGCGCAACGCAAATTTAAACTCGTGTTAATGGCGAACGAGGGCTATACAGTGTAAATATGACAGATGCGCAAGATAACAGGAGCATAGGTACGCTCAATGCGGCTTTACGTTAGTGTGCGTTTAAACGAATTTCCCCTCTAAAATCACCTTTATTGGATTTTTTCAGAGACCACAATGAACTTCCGTTCAAATTGTGTTCTCAAATACGAGACTTCTGATGGGCTATGACAAACTATATTTGATTTTTTGTCTCGATCTTTTGTGTTGAAAATAAACGCAAAAATGACATTGCGTTTAAACGAATTTCCCCCACTGTATGTCCCCATATGAGTGTTATTTCCATTATGTACGCTTATGATGTACAACGACGATGACGACGTGCCGGTGCACTGAAACTGGAAGTAGCTCTGCGAAATAGTCGTTCGTCATTGTTGAAACTCAATTGTGTCAGATATCGCATTACCAAGATGGATAGCGTGTCAGTCGCAGGCGCACTTATTACTCACTATGTAGCGCCACCGAGCAGAATGACGGTCAGGTGGTTCATACTTTGACAGGGTCCTACTGCACGTTGTGTAATGCAATGGTTAATGCACTAATGGCGGTGAATGATGAGCATGATAGTAAATTATTTATTTTTCCTTGATCTGATTTCCGACGATCTTGTTTTCCGTACTGAGTACCCATGTGTTACTGGCGTCAAGGAGCCACACATTATCGCTCTCTCAAAACCGGTGAGAACACTTTTTCATCTTCCATTGGACACCGAAAATATTCGCTCGTGTATTGCTGGAGTCCGAGCAGGAGTGTAGAAAATAAGTGTTTGAGCCGAATGTGATGTTAACAGGCAGCGATGCCGCATTGCCAGATTTTTGCACACGAAAAAAGTTGGGACCCCCTTGTTTATTTTGATACCGTAAGACTCTGCAACAAATTAGTTAGCTCTCGGCTCTTTTGTTCTCCTACTGTTTAACTAGATGGCAGAGTTTGACGTGGTTTAATGTCATAGTCAGACCACCGGAAGAACGAAAGGTCAGTATCAATCATCCAATTACGAGGGGCACGAATGTAGCACATATTACAAAAATAAAAGTCAAATTATTTACATTTGGTATATTATATGAAAATTTGTCTGTCCAGAAAAAACTGTTTATATCATGATAATAACCATGGGTTTGCGAACAACAGGCTCACCAGCACGTGAATCAGCACAAGTTCAAACAGCCCATTAGAGGGGGGTTAACATACACGCTGGTTCACTAGCTTTACTAGCTCAACCAACTAGCACGGATTTCAGTTTCTCTTGAAATATTTTGCTGGTAGATGCTGACGCCCTGCTTACATTATACTGACTTCTTTTTATTACAATTTTAGTACACTAGCAGAATTGTAAACACCCCATATACCCGGTTTACATTAGTGCTGGCTCGTTAGCGCAGATGAGCCAGTTGCTAGCAAAAAGGGACATCGGCATCATTGGGGTGGTTACATATACGCTGGTCCACTTGTTCTACCAGCTCAACCAACAACTAGAACTGTACTAAAAATTAATCATAAATACTGTATCATGCAAATAGGGCATCAGCATATACCAGCATGCGATTTCAGGAGCAATTGAAATACGTGATTGAGCTGACTGAGCTAGTGAACTAGCAGATATGTAAACACTCCAATAAGCATATCAGCGCTAGTGAATCAGCATAGGTGTAAGCTGGGCATTATAGTGGCGCCGGTGGTGCAGTGGTAAACGTGATTACCTTCACCCCAGCAGGCCTGGGTTCAATCGCCGACTGGGATGTTCTGAGACATAACATCTCTGATCACGGCAGTAAAGCCGTTGGTCTCCGGTTCATGAGGTGATGGGTCTATAGGTAGGGTCCAGGTGTAGGAGTCGCCTCCCTTGCGTCGGTAGCATTGGGCATCCCGACTTTTTCTCAATAAAACAGATGAAATTATTCTTTATTATGTAAAAAAATCTCCTTAAAATAGATCGGGTTGCTCCTTAAATGATTGATCAAAATACGTAAAAATCTTAAAATGCTCAGTAAATATTTAAAGTACGCTCCCTAAAATAGAGAAAACTGTACATTAAGCATTTGAAAATGCTCCTTAGTATGCACCGTTGTGCACCATTTTGAAGTGTAATTGTATCATATATCATCGGAAAAGCTGCTGTAGAAAGGTTAATAAGTACCATGAAATCAGCTGAAATGTTCAGTAAAAATGCACAAATGCACACAATGATTTACTGAACATTTCAGCTGATTTCATGGTACTTATTAACCTTTCTACAGCAGCTTTTCCGATGATATATGGTACAATTACACTTCAAAATGGTGCAAAGCGGTGCATACTGAGGAGCATTTTCAAATGCTTAATGTACATTTTGCTCTATTTTAGGGACCGTACTTTAAATATTTACTGAGCATTTTACGATTTTTAACGTATTTTGATCAATCATTTAAGGAGCAACCCGATCTATTTTAAGGAGATTTTTTTTTACTTATTAAGGAACATTGTCATTGTTTAATGATTCATTTACCTTTTTACCGGTAGCATTGGTACTCAGTACGGAAAACAAGATCGACGGAAAAACAAATCAAGAACCAGCTGGGCATTATGGGATGTTTAGATACACGCTGGTCCACTAGCTCACCAGCTGAACCATTCTTCTTTTTCTTCTTCGCATTTCAAGCCTATTGCTTATGGCATATTAGCTTATTGCGTGCTCTCAACTTAGTGTTTTAGATGCACTTCCACAGTTATTAATTGAGCTTTCGATGCCTGCTACCATTTTTGCATTAGTATAATTGTGTGGCAAGTACAATCATGCTCTATGCCCAGGGAGTCGAGAAATTTTCCAACCCGAAAAATTCCTAGACCGGACCGGGAATCGAACCCAGTCATCTCCAGCATGGTTTTGCTTTGCAGCTGCGCCTTTACCGACTGAGCTAAGGGAGGCCACCAGCTGAACCAACAACACCGTTTGAAAAAATCATGTACATTTTTGTGATATCAAACGCACATGTTATTAACGATAAATTTGTCGAAAATTTACACTTTAAGTAAAAAAAGTGTAAAAAAAAGTGTAAAGTGTAAATTTAAGCGCAATATCGCAAAAATTAGCATTGTTGTATACAACTTTGCAAACAATTTCGTTAATTAGGGAGAGACTTTACGCGATAATAATTTTTTTTTTCTTTGGTTTGTTTTTTCCGTCGATCTTGTTTTCCGTGCTGAGCACCAATGCTACCGACGTGCCAGGAAGGCAGCTCCCACACCTGGACCCTACCTATCGACCCATCAACTCATGAACCGGGGACCAACGGCTTTACTTCCCATCCGAAGGAAGGCGTGAACAGAGATGCTATGCCTCAGAACATCCCGGCGGCGCCGACTGGGATTGAACCCAGGCCTGCTGGCGTGAGAGGTAATAACGCTTACCACTACACCACCGGCGCCGTTACGCGATAATTATAGGTAGTTCAGAATTGTTTTCGGTGTAGCGGTGTTGCTCCTTCGGTTGCTCCCAGGCCAGTGGCAAGGCCTATACCAGCAGCAGCGTTTGACAGTAGGCAGCATGTCCCGGGCTCAAATCATTTATTTTACTGTGCTCGGCCCGCTGTCACTGTATAAGATGTTGTCTACGCGCCTGCCATTGGGCTGGTTGCTCCTGAAATCTCATACTGGTAGATGCTGACGCCCTGTTTACATTATGCTAACTACTTTTTAGTACAATTCTAGTACACTGGCGCTAGCACACCAGCACCTAATTACCGTTCTTTCTCGCGCACATTGGATATTGCTTATGGGATTTTTCAGTGGAGCGGGATATGAAACAATCGGGATATGGAACAATCGGGGTATGGAACAATCCACCACAGACTGACTGCTTAATATGGAACTTTTTCATGAGAGTTAAAGCAAAGAAGAATACTAAGATGAAACTGCCGGAAGAAAAACTCCTCTTTCACGGTCCTTTTCATCCAATGAATACCCCCGTATATGAAGTAATTTTGTGGATTTAATGCCCCCTCGGTAGAGATGAAATTTTGCGCTCTTTTTTATCAAAACAATCACACAGCCGGCGCCGGTGGTGTAGTGGTAAGCGTGACTGCTTTCTCACACCCCAATGGGTCTGGGTTCAATCCCAACCGAGATTGGTGGTTGGTCCCGGCCCATGTGTGTTTGAATGGGTGCGATATCCTACGCAGGTGTGGAAGCTGCCTTCTTGCACATTTGATTGCCGGCAATGGATTGCAATCGATGTCCGTCGGTGATTGGCACTAGATTGCGGAACAGAGACCGACGTTAAATAAAGGAATGAAGAATGAAGAATGAAGAATGAATGAAAAACAATCAAACGAAAATCAGAGATGTCCCATTTTGTAATTACTCGATTAACAACTAATCGATTATTTTTTGTTCACTGTGTTGTGATTTTTCCACCAATGAGAGTGCAGCACATGTTTGAAACGATGGATGATGATCCTCTGGCTATCACTAGATGAATTTTTAACGTCATTTCAAATATAAGGACCGTACATAAATAATGATACAATTTGAAAGGGACCGGGGCTAATCACAAATTATGTCCCCATGGTAACTGAAATAAACACAGGTGCTGACGGGTTGGTTATAGAGTCGCTACAAAGGCAAATTTTTAAAAGCTTTGCATTGTTTGGATCAAATAGGTTTTTATATGCTAAACGATTCACATAAAAACTATGCGATAATTATTACATTAAAGTTTAAATTCAGACAGAACCGAACTCGCGCCATACGGGTGGTATTTTCGGCGTTGTTGTCTTTCTCATTTTCGGTCTGAAGACAGCTGAAAATCTGGTCATCGGGAAGGGTGAAAAATCATAATCTTTCTGGTGATTGCAGAATTGCAGAAAAGGAAACGAAATTATCGGCTAATACTACCTAAAGGGCGAACACGAAATTATTGCGACACCGAAAATGTCATGCCAATTTTCTTATAATGTTTAGAATCAAACCAAAATTTTAGGGTAGTTTTATACATATATTTACTTCAAAAATCAAAAGAAAAGTTAATCGATGGAGCCTTGAGTGTAAAATTGAACTCATTTTCGCTTGATGCCCTCCATCTAAGTCTTTACAGTGTCATCCGGTACCAGTTTCTCAGTTTTTTTTCCATTTTCTTAACATGTCCTTCTCGTCTTTAACTGTCTTCTTGCTCTTCCGAAGTTCCCGCTTCATTATTGCCCAGTACTGCTCCACCGGGCGCAGCTCCGGACAGTTTGGCGGATTCATGTCCTTTGGAACAAAATGGACAGAATTGGCCTCATACCACTCCAGGACACTTTTAGAATAGTGGCATGATGCCAAATCTGGCCAAAATAGTGGAGCTTCGTCGTGCTGCTGCAAGAACGGCAAAAGGCGCTTCTCGAGACACTCAGATTTGTAGATCTCGCCATTTATTGTGCCCTTTGTCACGAAAGGCTCACTCCTCAGTCCGCAAGAGCAGATGGCCTGCCAAATGAGATATTTGGAGGCGAACTTCGACATTTTCTTCTTCTTAAATTTGTCGTCCACATCGAACTTGCTCTTGCCGGTGAAAAACTCCAACCCCGGAATTTGCTTAAAATCGGCTTTTATATACGTTTCGTCGTCCATCACACAGCAGCCATATTTTGTCAGCATCTTCTCGTAGAGCTTCCGTACCCGAGTTTTAGCCGTCGATTGTTGCCGCTCATCGCGGTTTGGGAAGTTCTGTACCTTGTATGTATGTAGTCCAGCTCTCTTCTTTGCATTCTGGACGTAGCTCTGCGACATGCCGATCTTTTTAGCCAAATCACGGCTTGAGACGTTGGGATTTGCTTTAATCATCCGCTTCACCTTTCCCTCCGTCTTTTTGTTCTCTGGTCCCGGTTTTCTTCCAGCTCCTTTGCCGTGGTCCAACGTCAACCGCTCCTGGAACCGCTTCAACACTCTGGAGACGGTTGAATGGTGAATGTTCAACATTTTTCCCAACTGCCGGTGCGACAGGTCAGGAAATTCCAGGTGTTTGGAAAGAATTTGTTCTCTCAACTCGCGTTGGTTCACCTCCATTTTCGTTGAATCGAAAAACACGACTTCGAGTTTGACAGCATGTACACAATACACATCAATGAGAAAGTGTGCAAAATTTGGTTGATTTTTACCCAATGGTAAAAAAGTTATGCCCTGTTGAATGTGTCGCAATAATTTCGTGTTCGCCCTTTAATGAGATGAAATTATCATGGCTGCTTTTCTCGAGAGAATTTCTTTGCTTGAACAAAGTTCTTTTTGCCGGCACCCTTCTTTATGCATTTATAAGCACATTCTTAAGCCTGCCCTTTTAGCATTCTCGACAAAAAAGAGTTTGCCAGGCCCCACCTTTTATCTAATTGAGGCGGGTTTTCTTCCTTTGATTTGTTTTTCGTCGATCTTGTTTTCCGTACTGAGTACCACTGCTATCGACGCCAGGGAGGCAGGTCCCACACCTGAACCCTACCTATCAACCCATCAACTGATAGACCGGGGACCAACGGCTTTACTTCCCTTCCGTGATCAGAGATTTGGGGCGGGGTTTAGAAAGAATTGTTTTTGTCGAAAATGCTAAAAATGAGGTTTGGGTGAGTTTAAATGCATAAGTAGAGGTGTTATGTACTTCATTTTGTAGTCTGTGTAAGGGTTTTCTAGGTTTGCTGTCCTTTGTTAAAAAGTCGTGGAAAACAGTTTCCTTTTTTCGATAGATGTCGCCACAAATGACAGCAGCTGAACAAAAATGATTAACAGTCATATGGGGGAAATGACTTCATTTACCCCCAAACAATAAAGGTAAAGGTATTGCCGAAGACGTCATTTACACTACATATCAGTGCTAACATTTGAAAACGGCACAAAAGCCATTTGTAAACAAATGGTTTGTGGGCCCTTTACTCACTACTTGAAGTACACCCACGCGACACAACAGCAACATCGGGTAGGGGAAATTTTCCCCTTCCTGACGATGCTGTTGGTTTGCGTGGGCGTTCTTCGGGTAGCGAGTAAAGGGCCCACAAACCATTTGTTTACAAATGGCTTTTGTGCCGTTTTCAAATGTTAGCACTGATATGTTTGGTGGGCTTCGTGGTCGTGAGGTTAACGGCGGCACCCATTGTTCAGGCGTATTGTGATTGCCGCTCCAGTCGATGGAACTTTACGCAACCCGAAAATTTCCGTACTGGTCTACCGGGTGATGTGTGTCGTCCGTTGTCTAATGTTAAGTGTTCAGTCTGTGCAACCTCTGGTTGAAGACTGTGTCAATTGTCTTATATACATTTTGGATGCTACCTCCCAATCCTCTAAGCTTAATGCTCATGCCCTCGATAATTTACCATTCAAATTCTCTGGAGTTTTAGCTGCCCCACACAGTTCGAAAAAGTAATGTAAATTTCTGTTCAATATGATGCACATAGGTAAATGGAGCGTCACATATCATATACGTTTGCATTATATATCATGTAAAGTTCTGACACATGTCATGCAATGTAGCAAATATTGTATACAAAAGCCCATCTTTGTAAACAACATTGTTTGCAAGTTGCTCGGTTGCGTGAAATGAAATACAAGTCTACGTGATTGAATGTTTACATCATAATTAAAATTCAGAGTTTTTATCTGTGCATGAATCCTCTAGCGTTAACCGTAGAGTCGCTTGGAGTCACACATAATTAGTTATAAGTATCTGACTGCTAAGAACGAGATTTGCTCCGGCTTTAGAAATTTGTCATCTGATTTAATTTTTTAGACAATTCAGCATGTAATACAAATTGAGTTTACATTTTATCCCTGTTGCTCATCTTTAAAATAGTCACCTCTCTGATGAAACTCCTCAAATTCGCTGGATGATTTGAAATACTCTTGCCATGCGAGCTTAGCCAGCCCTCGCCTCGGGTAAGTGATGGCAAGAATGTGGAAGAAGTAACCAAAAACTCCCCGATAGAGCGAGAGAAGAGCGTACTCAAGCGAGAAGATGATGATTTTTTTTTTGTTCGAGGCAAGAAGCTCAGAGTTCACCCAGGGTGAGAGCGTGCTCACTCTCGTTTTATCCCCCTTCGCTCACAAAATGTTAAGCTCGGTGGAATGATGTGAATAGAAATTCTACCTCACAAAAATGCTTAGGCTCGTCTCATTCATTTGGCAGCAGCAGTTTTTTCGTTCATACCAAATATGTTGTTTATAAAAATGTGTTCACTGTATTTCTTGCCAGCTGGAACACAGTGAACACATTTTCATTAACAAAACTTTAGTTTTAATCGAAACAACTGCATTTGAATTTTAGATGTTCGTTCCCTTTCTCCTTAAGAGTCGCGAGCGAGGCTCCATCAAGCTTGCTCATGACCGCCTACGACAGCATTTTGTTTGAAATCATTACAAGCAGCAACCCCATGTACCCCATCAATTAGCACTCGAATTCCCAAAATCACCCCGCATACTTAACACGTTCATCTTTTTCCCATTTCAGGCATCCGAGCAGTTGGCGGCAGCCGCCCTGCTTACGCCACAACCGGGTAGGCATTTCGGTTCTCTGGGACCGAGTGAAAGTCAATTCAAGCGTTCCGCTGAGTTAGCATCTATTGTATCGTCAACAGTGTCATCGGATGGCGGCGATGATGGCGGCGGTGGTGGCTCACTCAGTGCCGCCACACAGGACGACATCGCCGATGGAGAACATGGCCACGGGAGCCGCGAAGGTGGTCACGAGGTGGAACGATATCCGGTCGCACAGGTGGAATTTTCCCGTGTCGAAACACCATTCGTGATCGGTGTCTGGATTCTGTCGGCCAGTATTGCGAAAATCGGTAAGTAGCCGCTAATTGACACTTTTATGTGGTTGGAATACATCTCCGTGGAGATCAAAACACTGCCGACTGCGCAGTGGTCAGATTTGTTTTGAAAATAGCTTTCATCACGTTTACAGCTTTCCCCCGAAGAGCGCGTCCACTGAGTTCCCACCGCTTATTCTCGGCGAGTTTTCAACCAATCGCTCTGACTTTCTGCGAGTGACTAGTTCGCCATATACTCGGACCAACGAAACTCGCAGATAAAAAAAATCGGTAGGTAGAACTCAGTGGGTAACGCGTTCTTCGGGAGATAGCTGTGTGTATATGAAACGCCGGGATTGTTTTGGGGGTGGTAAATATAAGCTGGATTCGCGTGTCCATCGATTTGTTTATCCACGAGGACGAAGCGGTTGGGTTGGGTTGCTCTCCAACATGTTTACCATAATGGAAATATGTAGGTATATGCTCACCATCTTGCGTAGGATGGTCGCGTGTCGTACGGTAAGCAGCTGTTGACACAAGCCAACCTAGTGCGATGGATGTTTGCATACGGTATTATCGTTGTTTTAATATGAAAATGCTGACATAAATTATTGTTCAGTTTTGTGCTAGGTTTGGTGTGATCGACGGTTCTGTTTTGCAGCAAGTAGATTTTTTAACTTTTGATATTTGGATGGCATTTTACAACAATAAAATATTTTAAATTTATTTGCATCACTTAAAATTACTAAAACCGGACCAAAACTTACTTTGAGTTTAGATGCATCAAAAAATGGGTTGAGCCTAAATCTACGGCGTACACACTAACTTTAGATTGCTGGAGTCAGTAAAATTTTACTGGGTTTTTGAATTCCGGATCCTACAGTAATCATCACAGCAAAAATTTGCATTACCGAACTGTCCGTAAAGTCAATCTGTCAAAAATAACTGTTCATTCAGTAATTGGTTCGAGTTGCGTATACTGGAAAGCCCAGTAATTTTTTGTTTATTTTGCTGCAATTTAACTGACAAGACAGTTATTCTGTTAATTCTTGTACCGTGTTACCCAGTTATATTAAAAGATTTTCAGGAGAAAAAAAACTATGTCCGGGAGGAAAATCATGTATTTCAATGTTAAATGCATTTTATATTTCTCATTTTTTCAGGATACTGATTGAAAACAACAACAACCATTAAATCAATACAAACTACGGAGAAACTTATCGCCCGAAGTTGTTCTGTTTCCAACTTCCATAAAAACTGACTTAAAGATTACGAAGAATAGCTTGTCGCTCGATCGACAATCTACATTGAAGACAGTCAACTACATGCAAAACATATGGAAACATACCAAGAAATTCCTTTTCAAAGGAATAGTGACGTTCTTCCAGGAGATAATTCCATCGGTGTTGGTTTCAAGGAATTTTCCACGGGCGTAAAGTGTAGGAGTTTCATGGTTTAATGTTGGTATTGGGTAATCTAATAGAATCGAGAATAATTTGGTCACAAGCCATAGCCAAATCATGCACTATACGTACTTGAATTCATTCAACAATTCCGTCATGATATAATTCATGGTTTCTTACAAATTTTCACAAAACTGCGCGATAAAACACTTGCTCCCGGATTTTACTGATGGCGGCGGGAATAAAATTGACAGGTTAGAGTTTTACAATTCTTGGTCGGTAAAACAAAGTGGCTATTTCGCTGACCAGTCGGTAATCAAATAAAGACTACTTTGTGCACAGTAATTATTTTTACTGACTTTTCGTGAAACCTAGAAAATTTGGAAATTAACGACTTTCTCAGTAAATATATATTCTGTGTACAGTATTTTGCATCAAACGATACCGAAGTTCAGTTTGTGTTTTACAGAACGTCGGTTATTCTTTCGTTTTACCGTGCAAGCCCAGTACAAAAAAATACTGATCAACTAAATGCTGGATTAGTGTGATTATTTCCACCCCATGATGTACGCACCCGTGTTTAAGAATATTTAATAAGATTGGTTTAGAAGGGTTCAATATGTTTTCATGGTTTGTTGAATTATCTAAAATTTCTTTAGAGATCTTATCTGTTTATTTTTCCCAGACCTAATTCTCATATGTATGGTAGAGAGTTAATTCGACCTAAGCGTCCATTTTCGTGCTTTCGATCAGAAAACATCAAGTATGTTTTTGATTTAATCATATAAATATATGGTAAAGAATCCTTATTCCCGGGTGGTTTTTTCGTCCGAATTCTTTTTTTTTCAGTTACTTAGAAATCGTTACTTTTCTGAAAAGGATAGAATATCCGGTCAGCATTCTATCTGCCGAAGCTCAAGCATCTAGGAATTCAAATAAAGGTATATGGGCAAAAAAAACATCCGGGATAAAGGATACTGGATTTTAGTTCAAAAGCTGTGTGTAAGATACCGATACCTTAAGCATTATGAATATTTTAAAATATTCTAGGGCTAATATTGTTGTTCATTCCACACAGAGCCGTACTCATGCGATTTTAGGCAGTTTATATTGTGCAATAAATATATTTCAATAATTCTTCTATGCTATGCATGCTATCGTGGCAAGCACAAAGTAAGCGGTTGTATCCAAGATACGACCGTAGATTTGACGTAGGATTCACATCCGATTGAGTAAGCTGATGGCCCGTGGTTTTTTAAAGGAACGGCAGCTCATCAGCTCACTGATATCACAAGTCTAAACCATTATATCCGTCACTTTCCAAGCAACATTGCAAGCCGAGGTTTCAAAGCATTCTACAAGTCTAAATCTTGATCTATAGAACCCTCATAAAACCAAAAAAATACTTGGGTTTTAGCAGAACTTTGCAAAAAGGATCTTATTACTTCTCTTACGCATTGAACAGCCACGACGTAAGCCAAGATGTGCGCGTAATACAACATGTGCTTACTGAACGATAGCATCAACGGTAAAAGCAAACTTCCAAGCGACTATAAGGAAGAAATTGAAATCTAAATTCGATGTTGTGATTTCGCTGATAATGATTACTCAGGTTGCTGTCGTTATGGTCGTTTTAAAGGTTAAAATATCAAAATTGAGAGCAAACAAATCTTCCTTTGACATCACATTGAAAACTATTTCTGCTATCAGTGGGAGCAAACTGAAAACTCAATTTGATATCATTTTTTCCTGTTGATAACAAAACATGTATTCAATTTGATGTTATGCTAAGGCAATGAAAACAAACTCGCAACAACATATTTTTGAAGAGCAAATGTACAGCAAAATGAAAACAAAATTAGGTATAATATTTGTCAATTGCGTAAACTGAAATCAAATTATGATTTCAGTTTGATGTTCATATCAAAATTTGATTTCAATTTGCTGTCATTATGATGCTGGACTTTGCTCGGGTAGGGTATTTAAGACAGTTATGCCATATGCACCAGTTACGGCATAATTCCATTTTTGTCCTCTGTTCGGGACATAAAACCACTGCGACCAGAAATTTGATACATTGTAGTAAATCCCGTGCCCTTATGTTGTGTTACTCCATCACTATTAAGAAATGATGAAGTGTTCGGGTTTGTTTGGCCTTGTTTTCATCGCAAGGTACGGATTATAATTGAAAGGTCCCGCTCTGTATAATCTTCAAATAGTAAGAGCACTGGTAATTGCTATTACCGACCCAGTGGTAATCCAGTTTCCTCCCAAAATATCTTGGATCGATGCTTCTCCAGAATTACTTAAAAAGTGCGATTGAAAAGGAAATTCTTTGCGAAGTGGAGTATGTGCCCACCGAGACCGAGACCTGTCGTTTGAGATCCGGCATCCAGGTTCTGTTGAAGGCTTTGGAAATATCGAGAACTTCCAGTTCGGTATGTTTGCCTGCGGAAAAGGCAGCATGGATAACCTGTCCGAGAGTAGCATTTGTCCCATGTCCCGGGCGCAACACTTGTTGTCGATGGTCAAGAGGTTCGGCGATTCGAGAAATCAATCTTCAGTTAACCATTCTTTCGGTGATCTTTGCCGCACAACAGGTAAGAGACATGGGTCTAAAGTCCTTGGATTCCCGACCGGAGAAACCATGCTTCTGGATAGGGATGTTGATTCCAGGCTTGGGGGAGTGAATCGTTCCCCCATTCACGATTGATCAATTCGAGTAATCTTAGCTTACCTTCAGTGTGAAGGTTCCGCAAAAGAGGATACCCTATCTCATGCGGACCAGCGGATCTGCCTCTGGCTTTTGAGAAAGTCTGTTAAAGCTCGTCCAGCCGGAAGGGCTGGTTGAGCTCCGATGCGGTTTCCTCGAAAGCATTCGTCGTAGCCCGAAATCGCAGATCGTGAGGCAAAGTGATCACCGAGAATCTCGACAATGATTGCAAGAACCTCTGGTCACGGTGTCGGTGTATTGTAGAGCACGATAACTGTAAGTAAATCTTACATCCTCCGGTTGGGTGTAGATCGTTTGTTGCCTTGGCGAGTTAGACGTTATTCTTATTCATATTATGCACGAAGCACTCTTCTTATTTGCGAAAAGCTAGAATAATCCGGTTCAATATTCTACCTCCACGACCCGGTTTTCGATCATATTTCGGTATGTTCTGTAATTACTGGGGTCACATGTGCTCTCTCTTTTGTGGTTAATCATGACACTTTTCACTACAAGGTTGACAAATATTGTTTAAAATGTTTATCAACTTTGTAGTACATATCAGGCATACACACTTAGAAAAAATCACCGGCTTCGGTAATTCATTTACCGAATTCTCAACAACTGAACGGTCGGTAATGTTTTCGGTAATCGAGAACATTTCCGAAAAATCTGTAAACTGAATCAGCAAAATTAGCTGTCAAATTTACCGAACGATCGGTAACGTTTACCGATGTGCATTGCTTGATTTGTAGTCGACTTGTTACCCCGCATGATTTTGTTTTTGCATTATTTAGACTTTTTTAGATCCGTGACTCTGAGAAACAGTTTTCTGAGTTGAATCAATTTAAGGAATCTTACCTTATAGGGTAGAGAACTACTCAAATAAATCGATGATTTCAGAGTTAACAAGTCAATTA